AGATGCGCCTCGTCGACCACCAGGAGGCGTGCAAGGTCGGCGGCAGGGAGCAGGACGAGGCCGACGCCATCCTCGCCGAGGAGGGCTACGGCGAGCGGTGGGAGGCATTTGCCGCCCTCTGCCACGCGCTCGGCGTGGGCCAGTTTGAGATCGGCCTGGCAAAGAGGCGCTGCGGACCCGCCATTGAGCTCGTCGGCAGCGCCGCCGGGCCCTGAAGGAGGATGACCCCGGCCGGCCAGGCCCGTCTCTGACCCGATACACTGGTGCCGTCGAAGCGCGCGACAACATACACGCATCCGAAGCGCCGCCAACCGCTGCAGCGCCCGGGCTATACGCAGCCCCGAAGCACGACTACAACGACGACCACGACCACGACGCCACGCGGGCCACGCCGCCAAGACCACGGCAAACCCACCTCTCTCTCATGTGCGCGCGCAACAAGGGACGGCGCCAAACGATATACCCGCACGTCTGCCCCGGTCTTTCCCTTTGTCACCCGCCGCTCGCCCAAACACACGCACACTCTCTCTCTCTCTCTCTTCCCATCCGTCCCCGTCGGATCTCCGCTCGACGTGGCCAGGACCAGATCGGGATGGACGGGACACGAAAAGAAACCCGGGGAGAACCTGAACCCCTGTCCTGTAGCATATCCAGTCCCTCGGAGCATCGACCAGCATCATCCGGATCGTCTGTCACATCGTCCCTCGCTTGCTCTCCTCTGTCCTCCACTCGTCGTCCTTTCTTTGCTTCTCGTCATCATCTCGATTCGGCCCTGCTCGGCCCTGCTTGGCTCTGCTAGCTGCGAGGAACGCCAAGAGGGAAGGCGGGTGCAATACACGGACTAATCTCCCCTACCCTGCGAGAGCGAGGATGCTGCTCTGTCTGTGTCTTTTTGTCGCGGCCAGCGGGCCCAGGCCTGCTCGTTCGCTCGCTCGCTCTTTTTTGAAGGAGTTTTATTCCTTCAATTTGTGGGGGCCCAAGGCCCACTATACTGCACAGCTGCATGTCTGAGCAAGCACCATCACTACTGCTGCAGGCCTCTCAACTAACTCATTCATGATCCATGCCTGTTTGGAGCTGCTCAACGCCTTTGCAGAACCCTGCTGGCATCAAGCATCAACCACCTAACATGATGCCAGAGATTGTCATGGAGCAAGAGAGAGAGGCAGGCTGTTGGCTCTGGCAAGAGGAAGGAGCTCGGTGCCATCCGCAAGTTCGCCCTGGCGGAGGATGAGGAGGATGAGGAGGACTTGCTTACGCAAGTGCTGAGAGACATGGAGGCCATCAAGGAAGGTGTGAGCACATACACTACCAAATCACATGCGTCACAGAATGCCCAGATCGACATGGGCATCAAGCTACGGCGTTTTGGAAGTGACATTGTGCCCTGGCTTGTCGAGAAAGGGGACATGACTGGCCAACCCAGCCCACCTGCCCCACATGTCCTGGACTACAACAATGTTCTGGCCCTGGTCGAGCGTCTCACCTTGTATCTCTCCTACAAGGTTGCGATGACCCAAGCAAGGTCCAGCACCGGCAGCGTGGTCAAGTCCATGCTGTGCAGCTGGCGCCGGAACGTGCTGAATGCACTCATCTACTACATCATGACCAAAGAGACGCTCGAGACGGTGACAGCCACAATGCACAGGGTGCTCGCGCACAGCGCCAAGGGCGACAACAGCGTGAATGTACAACTGTACCGACACACCGCGTACCTTGCCCGCCACTACAATCTGGCCGACAAAGCCAAGGAGGAAGGAGCGAGCCATGCGAGGTCTGGCGCTGGCAGCATGGTCAAGTCAAGCTGTGCAGCTAGATCCAGAATGTGCTGGATGCCTTGATCCACCAGATCAGGAACAACAAGATGCTGGACACTGTCACTAGTGCAATGCAAAAAGGCCCTCATGTAGAACCTGTCAAATCAGCATGACAGGGATGAGGACATGGATGTCTGCAGATGTGCAGGGCAGCCTGCAATGGCATGTTGATGGATCCACATGCAGCTGTTGAGCCTCAGTCAGCCCTGTGATGGGTTGCTAGCTTGGATGAGGTGCAAGAAGCAGTGATGCAGGCTGGTTTGCTTGAGCAGAGGCTGTAGCCGACATGTATCATGTACAGGGATGAATGAGACCTTGCAATCCCGCTCTACTGCTCATGATGAGGGTAGATGGAATGTACAACAAGGCCCCTCACTGATGCACGCTGTGCTGCTTGATGGACTGGACTGTCACAGCTCCCTGTTGCAGCTACAGCCCGTCGACATGGCAAGAGCACGGCACTCGGTATAAAGTTTGGCTTCGCGCATCGCCTGCAAAGGCCCGGGCGGGCCAAGGAGGGCCCGGGCCGGTCACTCTTTGGACCGCACCGTCCCACCCTCGCAGAGAAGTTGACAGCAGCAGATGCCACAGACGATGAAGATGGCAGCGCACTCGTACACTAAAATCGCGGCACAGAGCACCAAGCTGCGGCGCCTACTTTCCTCCCGTCTGTCGTCTCGCCAGACTCTCGAACGAGGCTCAACTCAGATTCACACCAGCCCAGTCAGTCAGAGAGGAGGAGGGAGATGGCGAGAACTGATTTTTTTCCCTTGGCATCGGAAGGAGCGACCCGTGACTATCGATCGATCTAGAAAACGTTTCCTACGAGAAGGTGGTGAAGAAGAGGAAGGGGGCAGAAGAGGGGCGTACAGATCCGGCAGCGGGGAAAGACAAGGGAAGGTGGCGTAGTCATACAGGTATAAGAAGGGGAGAGGCATCCGGGCGGCTCAGTGGAAAAAGGCTGGCCGTCATCGAGAAGTCGTGTCTGTGCTTTTGTGTTGTAGCGACGGCGGTGACGATGATGGCTGAGCGACTGGCCATCGTTGCGTCGGGCTTCCCTCAGAAGGGAGGATGCCGCGATGGCCGTCTAGGCGCGCTTCTCGTAGGCGAGCTCGCCGACGGGCGCGTCGAGGGTGATTTTCTCCGTCGAGCTCGACTTGTCGTCGATGGGCGAGACGTCGCCGGCCGAGTGGTGGGCGGCCTTCTCGACCATACCCGCCTGGTGGCGGCGGGTGAGGTCGCCGAACTGGTCGACCTTGGTGCTGGAAAACTTGCGCGCCGAGACCTTCTGCTCGAAGAGGATGTCGAGCTCGCCGTAGGTGCGTCCGCGCGGCTCGGGGAGGCGGTAGTAGGTCCAGATGATGCAGAGGAAGCAGGTGCCGGCCCAGAGGAAGGCGCACTTGGCGCCCCAGTTCCACGCCGTCGTGTTGAGCATCCGGGGCTGGATAATGTTGACGATCAGGCCGCCGATGTTGTAGACGTTGCGCGCCAGCACAATCGTCTTGGCGCGAAGGCGCGTCGACGAAACCTCGGCGACGAGCGAGTAGCACACAGGGCCGACAGTGAAGTCATAGATGAATGCGAAGATCAGAAGGGAGGATCCGATGGCCCATCCGAAGCCCTCGGAGTCCTGCTTGAAGCCGAGGCCGCCGACGAGGAGCATGAGGGCGCACATGACGATCTGGCCGTAGAGGTAGATGGTGCGGCGGCCGACGTGCTTGATGACGAACCACGAGGCGATGGTGCCGCAGAGGCCCATGGCGAACTGTCCGATCGACATGTTGAAGGCCTGGGTGGTGGGCAGGCCGGCGTTGACGTAAAAGTAGGACGATGCACCCATCAGAGGCGATCCGGAGAGGTGCTGGCAGAGCCAGACGACGCAGGCGATCTCGGTGCGGCGCAGGTCGGTGCGCTTGAAGCAGTCCCAGTATGAGCTGCCCTCGGAGACGGCCTTCTCGAGCTCGTCGGTGTGGACCATCATGGCGACCTGCTGCTGGGCGTCGGCGTCGCTGAAGGGGACCTTGGAGCCGCGGAGGCCCTTGATGGCGCGCTTGGCGTCCTCGTGGCGCCCCTGGCGAACGAGCCACCAGGGCGACTCGGGGGCAAAGATGCAGCCAATGAGGATTGGGACGGGCCACATCCACTGAAGCGCGTAGGGGAGGCGGTAGGCCCATTGCGAATCCCAGTTGACGGTGGCGCGCAGGACGCCAGTGCTGATGAGCTGACCAATGACCCAGCAGGCATTGACCCAGGTGGTGAGGTAGGGGCGGAGGGTGACGGGGCAGACCTCGGCGGCATAGGCGGTGGTCAGGGTCTGGAAAACGCCCCACGGGATGCCCTGGAGGATTTGGCCGGCGAGCAGCATGGCGAGCGAGTTGGCGAAGAAGGGAATGAAGATCGTTCCGATCATCATGATGAGGGCGAATAGCATCGTCTTCTTGTAGCCAAAGCGCTCAGAAGCAATGCCCGTGAGCTGCAGACCGAAGATCTCTCCGACCAGCGCGCCGTTGTTGAGGCCCGACTGCCAGGGCGCCGGAATCTCGCACTTGCCCGCGGCGTTGCAATTGCCATATCGCTTCGTGAACGCCGGTTGTGCGAAGTAGTTCCCCAGCAGCATCACGTCGAACTGAAAGGGAATGGCCTCAGAAGGTGTCAGGAGCGTCCAGGAGCGATAGCAGGAGGTTCGGGGAGGATATTGGCGCGATTCGGCGCGTGGAAAAAAATAGCACTCACGCCTTCCATGATGATGGCCATCGAGAAGATCATCGACCACATGATGGCCTTGGGGTAGGCCCGAATGGCCTGTCGGACGGACATGTCGACCTGCTCCTGGGTGGCTGCGGCGGCATCGTGGACGAGGGCATCGTAGTCCTCGACCTTGGAGGCGATGGCGCCGGCCGACTTGGAGTCGATGCGGACGACTTCGGACGCGTCCTGAAGCGACATTGTTGCGGGGTGTGGGCGGCCTTAGCGCTTGATATCAATGTGCGAGGGATGCCTTGAAGAGGGGGCGAATGTGTACCGCTGCTGTAGTCGAGGTGCAGGGGGGCGGAAGAGGAGGAGGAGGAGGGAGGCGGTTATGTGCCGATGGGATGGGGAGAGCAAGTCGGATGATGGTCTAGGATGGGCTTGCTTTTGTAGATGATGACCAGGCGCTTGGCATGTCGGAGGATGGCTCGTATGTCGGGGATGGTGTTGCGGGGAGCAGCATCGACCTCAGTGGTTCGTGGTCGCGACAGTGGTTGGTGCTGGCTCGGTCTGTGCTTGCCATGTGTGGGGCTAGCCGCTTTCCCCAGATTCGTTCTGCCGACTGCCTGCGCTCACATGGATGGAAGCAGGAAAGCAGGAACGAGGGCTGCTGCTCCTGCTCAAGGGACTGGTGATGCGTGCGGGGACGAGGACGAGGACGAGCGCAGCGGGCCCCCGCCAAGGTCTCGGTACGGTAGGTTGGTGCGAGTGTGCGGGGGAAGGGGTATAGCCCCAGGTGTCAGACCTTGTTCCGAACGAGGGGCTCCGGTGCCATCGACAGCGGCTAGGACCGAAGCAAGACAGAGAGGAGCGGGGGAAAGGAGGACGGGTCGGGGAGATGGACGACGGAGGGCCAATGAGAAGACGGAGAATGGTCTGCAAGGACGCGCGGCCGGGAGCCCGCCGCGCCATGGACGCTCGAGGGAGCGGTGCATCCTCGGTCGAGGGAGCTGTCAAAGGGCGGAGCAGCAGTCGCCTGACCGCGGGCGGTGGTCGAGGAGAGGGCAGCCCAGATTGAGGTCGAAGACTCTTGACTGTTGTAGAGGATGGGGCAGGGGGCGGTCAACTTGCGGGGGGGGGGCGGAGAGTGAATTGGCATCGAGCAGCAGCGAGCTGGCACCGGCACCTCGTCGCGGTCAGTAGAGACACCTCAAGCCTGAGCTCGACGACGTCGTCGTTGTTCCTCCCCGCCCCTCCCCGGGTGCAAAGGAGAAGACCACCCTCCGCCCAGCGCTGCGATCCGACCAGCAGGCCGGCGAGATTCGCTGGCGCGCACCCGACCGGCAGCCGACGCCTCTACCTCCGCCATGGACCGTCGTCGCTGTTGGCTCGATATCTCGATCTGCGCCTAGCCATACATCGAAACGGGCGTAGTCGAACGGAGGAAGTGAGACCACCTTCGGCGGCGGCCGTCGAGGTCGCGGGTCAGCCAAACCAGGCAGGCCTGCCAGACCAGGCCAAACGGCGGTCTCGACCCGCTGAGCCGCCTGCGGTATTCGACTGTCGAATCTCGCCCTGGCCACGTGGCGACATCGGGCTCATTTGCTCCCCAGCCTGCCGTCTGCTTTCGGAACTTGGCCGCTCTGAGCCCAATCAACTTGGCCAGCTGACGTACGCCATGGGCCTGTATCGACCTCCCCGCAATCATCTGTTGGTCCGCTTGCTCGCACGCTGGCTGATGGCAGTGATGGTACGATGCGGGTTCGCCGTACGTCTGCAAAGCTGCACGCCCGAGCTGCAGCCAGGTCTCTTTCCCCGCCTTCTTTCCTGCATGCCCTCCCTCGCCCGCTTGCCCGCCTGCTCTTCGCACGCCTCTCGCCTGTCTTTGCTCTTCGGTCGCTTCTATTCACTACGCCGTCGCCGTCGACGACCTTCTCTGATCTCATGCCAGAACGGCCGGATGATGATTCGCGGGAAGGCCAGCACACGGATATGCGGAGAAGCGGAGGTACCACGGCACCGTTCGCCTCGCTCGCGAACGGTCAAAATGCGCGGCTTCCCCCCGAGACCGTTCCCGCGTGGCAGCGTCGTATGAACGACGACAGCCTCCGCCTGGCTGCTGGCCGCAATGCAAGGTGGCGATCTCAGCAGACATCCCGGTGGTGGTCAGGCCAGGCCCGACCAAGCATGGCAGATGCGAGCTGCTCCCTCGGTCGTGCGCTCAACAGGCGTCCAAGGTGGTGCCCGTGACGACCGAGCCGGCGCCGGACCTCGGTCGCGGGCTGTGCCTCGCTCGGTGCGGGCGCGAGCGACCAGGGCCGAAATTCGGCCTGGCCTCGGTCTCGTGTCGTTGCAACGGCCTCGTCTTCGCGGCAGGGCCCCTTCAGCTTTCGGAAGCGAGCCGGGGCGAGGGCGTGACCGGCCGCCATGATCTCGTCGGTGTCGCCGAACGAACGTTGGTGCGATCGGCCCCACCCGTAGCGGCTTGGCAGGCATCGCTGGTATCCCGTGATGGGCTCGAGGACGGCAGCAGCCACGAGCCGGTCCACACGACACGCCGAAGGTGAGGCGGGAGCGAAGGACCGCGACGACGACGACCACGACAAAATCCACCGAGGTGCAGCCGCCCCGCGCTCATGGTCGCTCGTGTGCGCTCGTTGTCGAGGTCTCGCCACACGCTCCAGCGCCTGCCGTTGCTCGGACTCTCTGACCCCCGACCTGACTCGAATGGCGTCGACCTCGGACAAAGGTACGCAGCGAGTGTGGGGCTCCACCGCGCCAGCTTGACAGGGACTCGCAGTGCCCAAGCAGGAGGGCTCAGCAGAAGTCTGGCCGAGCTTGGACCTGCCCACCTGTCCTTACGCCTTGCCCCGCGCAAGGTGCCCCTCCCAAGCAGCGCGGTGTCGCCGGAGTGGGCCCGTCACCTACCACGTCGGCGTCTTTCACCCGCCGAGGAGCCAAGGATGAGGTCACCCTGTTGCGGGTCCTTGCTGTGGTCCTCGTCGTCTCAGACCACAATACTACAACTTGCCGCTTGCCAGGGTAGATACAAAGTCTCGCCGGCGGTGGCAACCGCACCAGGGACGTCCGTCTGCCCGCGCGCGTGGGGGGGAAAGGCTCACGCACGCTGCTGCGTCGTTTGAGCCAGGAGGCGAGATCCGAATCTGCCGTACCGCTGTCACCGCATCTGTCGCCGCCGTCCTGCTGGCCTAGCCTGGTCTGTCCGTTCCCAAGGCAGGCTGGGTGGAGAGTTGGCGCTACCAGCGTCTTGGCTTGCCCGATGGAGGACTCGGCGGCGTCCTTGGCCCGCTGACCCCGCGCTCGCTGTCCTGCCTCGCTTGGCCGACGCCGTCTCTCTCGTCGGCGGGGGATCCAAGACGCCGGTGCCTCGACCCTGGCGCCCCCACGTACGTAGGCTCGCGGCTCGCACAGACCGCCGTTCCAGGTTGCTTGGCTTGCTTAGCTTGCTCGTCCTTTGCGTCCCTTGAGGCGGACCGAGTGCCCTCCGTCGCCTGGCTCGCTGGCGGTCCCTTGCCTGCCGGTGCTCCTTCGACCCGGAGCTCCTTCGAGCTCGCCCGCCGCCGCCCTTTGGCTTGGAGGACCCTGGCCCGGCCTGACCTTCCGCCACCCGCGGCCAACCTATAAAGGGCCTGGCCACCACTCTTTCCTCCCTGACACCGATCCCGCCCGCCCATGTCCTCTTTAACGCCAGCCGCCACCTGATCTTCTCCACGAGTGCCTCAACCTGCTCGCTGCTCCTTATCCTTCTTTCTGACAGGCAAAGACAACGACGACCGCCTAGACGAGCCCCTGGTATCGCACGCCACTCGGCAATAGACACGGAAGCGCACGCCCTCGCCCTCTGGCTTTGCCCTTACGCATCCCTCGGAACCACCTCTTCCTCCTCCCGCCTTCGATCCTCACCATGCCTTCTGACGGCGCGAAGCTGGCCAAGGGCGGCCGCACGTTTTGGTTCCGCGATGCCATCATCTACCAGATCTGGCCGGCGTCGTTCAAGGACCTCAACGACGACGGCATGGGCGACCTGCAGGGCATCATTGCGTCGCTCGACTACATCAAGTCGCTCGGCGTCAACACGCTCTGGCTCTCGCCCATGTACGACTCGCCCCAGGTCGACATGGGCTACGACATCTCCGACTACCAGGCCATCTACCCGCCCTACGGCACCATGGACGACATGGACGCCCTCATCCGCGGCTGCCACGACCGCGGTATCAAGATCCTCCTCGACCTCGTCATCAACCACACGTCGGACCAGCACCGCTGGTTCAAGGAGTCGCGTGCGTCCAAGCAGAGCCCCAAGCGCGACTGGTACATCTGGCGGCCCGCAAAGTACGACGCCGAGGGCAAGCGCCACCCGCCCAACAACTGGAGGTCCAACTTCAACACGCCCGCCTGGACCTGGGACGAGGCCACCCAGGAGTACTACCTCCACCTCTTCTGCCCCGAGCAGCCGGACCTCAACTGGACCCACGACGAGTGCCGCCGCACCATCTACCAGGAGACCATGGTCTACTGGCTGGAAAAGGGCGTCAACGGCTTCCGCGTCGACACCGTCAACATGTACTCGAAGCCCATGGACTTCCCCGACGCGCCCGTCACCGACCCGGGCGCCGAGACGCAGCCGGCGGGCATGGTCTATTGCAACGGCCCCATGATGCACACCTACCTCAAGGAGATGGGCGAGATTCTGGAGCGCTACGACGCCATGACGGTCGGCGAGCTTCCCAACACGCCCCAGACGGCCGACGTCATCCGCTACGTGTCGGCGGCGTCCAACGAGCTGAGCCAGGTGTTCCAGTTTGACCTCGTCGACCTCGGCCGGCTGCCCGAGGACATTATGCAGGGGCGGCCCTTTGAGCTGCCCGAGATGAAGCGCACCATTGACAAGTGGCAGCGCTTCACCGACGGCAACGACGCCTGGACGACGGCCTTTTGCGAGAACCACGACCAGGCGCGGTCGATTTCGCGCTTTGGCAGCGACAAGACGCCCGACGACGCCGTCGAGTCGGGCAAGCTGCTGGCGCTGCTCAACACGTCGCTCTCGGGCACGCTCTACATCTACCAGGGCCAGGAGATTGGCATGACCAACGTGCCCAAGACGTGGGGGATCGAAGAGTACCTCGATGTCAACTCGATCAACTACTACAAGAGCGTCGAGGAGCGCACGGGGGGCGACGCCAAGGCGCTGGCGCGCGCGCTGTCGGGCATCAACAGCTATGGCCGCGACAATGCGCGCACGCCGGTGCAGTGGACGTCGGAGGCCAACGGCGGCTTCTCCAAGACGCCGTCGACCAAGCCGTGGATGCGCACCAACGACAACTACACGAGCATCAATGTGGCGGCGCAGCAGGGCGACGAGGCGAGCGTGCTCAACTTTTACCGGCGCGCCATTGAGCTGCGCAAGCGGCATGCGGCCGTGCTGGCCAAGGGGCGGTTCGAGCTGGTCGACGTCGACGATGCCAAGCTGTTCAAGTTTGTCAAGCGGAGCCAGGGCGCGGGGGCGGGCGGCGAGGTGGCCTTTGTCGTGCTCAACTTTAGCGGCGAGGAGCAGGCCTACCAGGTGCCCGACGAAGTGGTGGGCGGCAAGGTCATTGCCAACACGCGCCTCGACGGCGGCAAGCCGGGCGTGCTGAGGGCGTGGGAAGGCCGCATCTACCTGGCCTAGGCGGGCAGGCAGGGGGGCTAGATGGCTGGGTGGTGGCGTCCGGGGGGTCGCGACAATTTCCTCTGGATTTTCGCACGTCTTTTCGTCATCTTGACTCTTGGCGTCGCTTCTTCATCTCGGGTGCCTTTTGCGCTTCGGTCACTTCCATGTCCCTGTCAGGTCGAGATGCCATGTAGATTCGTAGACGAAGCAATCATTATGGCTCGTCGCTGGTAACCTGCATCTCACCGTACGGAAGACGATGGTGGATTGATAGTCTCGCGACCTGGACTGAGCTTGACCGGCGGCCGGGCGCGGAACCGAAGCGGCGGAAAGGTCAGCGCCCTCGTGGGCCGAGCGAAGAAGCCGCCGTAAACGCCGAGACGAAGCCGCCCGCCCTGGCCTGCTGGCTGGCCTAGCTGGCCTACCGCCGTTTGGCATGCACACGCCGCTGCAGGGTCCAGGCAGGATGAGCCGGCGGTGGCCGGTGGGCTGGTATGGCGTGCTCTTCGTTTGGCGTTGCGCCATCCTAACCTCGCTCGCTCCACCCGGCCATACATGCTCGCTCTACGCCGAGATCGAGTTTCGTCTTCCCTTCTCGAGCAAGCAGGCAAGCAAGAAGACGAAAGCGGAGAACGAGCGCGACCCCACCGTAGGCTGGCACAGGCACGAGCACAGGCGGATGCCATGTGGCTTGCAGCCGAATCCGCACCGCCGGAGCTAAAGAAGCGCAGGGCCAGCTGCCAGCGCCAGATGCACACCTTCACCGGAGAAAAAAGTCGAGGCGCGGCATGGTAGTACGGTGGTGGGTCTGGCCTGGTCTTGTGGTACAAGAAGCACCTCAAGCCGATGTGAGGCCTGCTCGAAGAGAGAGGCTTCCTTTCTTCCCTTCACACACCTGCCCTATCTCAGCTTCGCGAGGCCACACCACCACCGCCACCCTCCTCGTTTCCCTAGACCGACAGCGGAGAGAGCAGCGGCCTCGCTTCCTCGCCGGCCCCGCCGTCTCGCGCACATCATGGAACCAACATCGACATCGACACCAACGACGGCAGCCGACGACACCATGCCGCCCCTCGCCCAGGTTGGCTACGGCGGCCCAGACTCGCCACAGCATG